TTTGTGCCAATCATCACAAAATTTATGCCAAATGATAAAATCCGTTGATGAAAAACAGTAAAAATTGTTTTGCTTGAAACATTAATGCGTCTCTACTTCCAACAAGGAGTGAACAATAGTTTAATTATTGGCATAGATATGATTTTTTTATTTTTATATAACCAACATGAATGTGGTATAATGCAGAAAATTATTAGAATGGTTTTACCATGAAATATTTTGAAGGATTAAATGGATAATTTATCGTTTATATATATATATATATATATATATATATATAGACACGTCATTTTTAAAAGCTTTATTGGAGCCCTTGGGAATGATAAATAGCTTTGAAAAAAAAAATATCGGTTAAGTTGACACGAGGTTTCTACTTTCGTTGAATGATGATCATCTCAAGTTCAACCAGATGAAAGCCTCTGTGTTCGTGTTTAAATTTAGGATGACTAATCTTAGACTAAATAGATTTCCAAGATTTCTTTCCATTATTTTATTTTTGTTTTCAACAAATTTATATTTATATTTTATATTGCATTGTTAAAGGAAAAAAAATTACTAGTTCTGTTATGATTGAAGGACTGATAAGTCTGTGTTAATATCTTCATTTGAACTTGGGGGAGTGATGAGTAGCCTTGAAGAAAATATATTGATTAGGTTGGCGCATATTTTTCTTACTTTTAATGAATCACGACGGTCTCAGGTTTTGGGGTTTATGGAAATCTCCCTATACTGCTATTGGGGCTTTGATCTAATTGAATCAAAACCGCACTGCGGAATATAATTGTGTTGATTCGAGAAAGCCAAAACAAATGATTCAAATGGATTAAACTTAGAAAAACCTGAGAATGGGAAAAACTACGGAGCCACACCACCAAGAAATTTTACTATGAAGAATAAGAAATGTACATAGTAGTCACTCAAATCTCCTCTCTATAATGAGTGGAACTTATAGGACTTCACCCTAAAGCTTCATCTTGATCTCACAAGAGGAAAACATGTCGAAATTCTCCTCTCCGACACTTTTCTTCTTCACGAGAAACCTTTCGAGAGAACCACAAGTAGGAGGCTCTTCCTTTCATTGCTCAAAATGGAAAATTTAAACCAAATTGGAAAAGGAACTACACCTGACACGCCCGCGCCACTCATGGGCGTGGGAGTGTCGTGCTCTATAAAATCGGGCACATAAACGCTCAACAGCAGGGCGAGAGTGTTGGAAACCTCAACGCGAGTATGCCTATGTGTGCGTGAAAGTGTCACTTCCTCTATCTGCAGTAGTGAGTGTGTTAAGCCCAAAAATCTTCTGTTGTTGTGTGTTGTTGACTGTCTTCTTGAGTGGGTGCTTCAAGCTTTAGACTTCAAAAATCTCCGAAGTGGAGACTGATAGATCTCAACATCTGTTTACCAGATCCAGACCTCCATCTATACCATATTTATAGTCACATATTGTGGTGTAACTTATCCCCAATCTTAACATTCACATATTTAATCTGAAGTAAAGCATAACTCCAACTTCTCAATAATCACCACTCTTGTCAACATGCCTGCGTAATTCTGAGTTGTGTGTATCTTTTTCAAGACCAACTGTCCATCTTTTAGGAGAGAGTGTATAAAGTGATGCCTCAGTTGTATGTGCTTTGTCCTACATGAAAAGTCGTGTTCTTAGCAAGTTGAATTGCACTCATACTGTCACTATGTTGCTTTCCAATTCCTTGCTCTTTCCTCAATTTAGCTCGAAAGTCATGTAGTCAAATCATCTTTTTACTAGCCTCATTGATAGCAAAATATTTGACATTTATAGCTGAAACTACAATAATATTCTACTGCCTGGAAACCCAACTCATCAAGGTGTTTCCCAAAGTGAAGGTATACCCTGTTATACCTCGTGCATCGTTGATATCTCCTATCAGATTTGGATCTACAAATCTTTGTAGATTGATAATCACACTTCCATAAAAAAAGTGACATGTTGAATATTCCTGTCAAATACTCGAGAATCCACATCACAACCTCTCAATGATGTCTGACTGGATTACCCATATACTTGCTGACTACTCCCACTACGTATACAATATATGGTCTGGTACAAATCATAACATACACTAGACTTCCAACTGCTGAAGCATGCATAGTTATCCCCATCTGTGCTTGCTTTGCTTCAAACTTAGGTGATAACTAGTTAGATAGCTTGAAGTGACTACTTAAGGGGGTGAACACTTGCTACTTCATAAGGTTAATTCTCTTAGAGGGCCATTGAAAATTATTTATAGCCAATTTTTCAACAGTGAATAGGCTCCTCAATTGGTTAAGACAAAAGGGGTCCCCCAATGATAGAGTCTACAATTGACATCAATGATCTCACTAGCCCATTATATAATATTTGAATGATAAGCCAGTCAGGTAGGCCATGGTATGAGCACTTCCTAAGAATTTCTTTGAATCTCTTCCAAGCTTCATAAACTGACTCTCTATCTGACTAGGCAAATGATGTTATCTCAGTCCTTAGTTTGATAATTTTAGATGGAGTAAAATATTTGACAACAAATTTTTGGGCTAAGTCATTTTATATGGTGATTAATCCTAGTGCTAAGGAATTTAATCACATCTTAGCCTTATTACTAAATGAGGAAGGGAATAACATAAGTCTAACCACATCATTATAGATATTGTTATACCTAAAGGCTAGACTTATGCTATATTTGAAGAGGGCACTTAGTTCTAGAAAGATGGCTAGGTAGTGGTTATGCTCTTTTATGGTTGATCCTACAAACTAATTGTTCTGAATTATTTGGACGATGGAATGTTTGAGTTCATAAGTATCAAATTCTATATCAGGTTTATTAATACTCGAGTAAAACTCCTCTACTATTTGTTGGCGTACTTCTTGTGTGATCTATATCTATTGAGTCTATGAATGAAACTGTGTGTATGTTATTCTCTTTATGAGATAAGTTTGTCATTTCACCTATTTTTTTTTAATTATTAAGTTTTTTTTATTTTTTAATAGTTCTTTCTAGTTCAGGTTCATAAATTAAAAGCTTAATGAATGTCCTACACATACATACTTAGGACTATAAACTAAAGGCTCTAAACTAATAGATTACACAAATCACAACAAATAAAATATGTATAACAAAATTTAAGCAGTATAGATGCAGAAATCATAAGGAAAAACTACACAATATTTTTGAAATTAGATTTTTTAATTATGATAATAACAGAGCACAGTAAATGAACATATTCACAAAATAGTATACTAAATAACAACAACATAACAAGTGTTAAGCCGAAACTCTAAGTGTGCAACTAAGATTCTTATATATTGGAAATTAACGTAATACCCTTAAAATAACACTAAAAACTTGATGCCCAAAATATTGTGAATCACTAGCAATCACACAAGTATACATATCGATCATGTAATATATGAAATAAGAGTTTGAGTATTGATCCCATAAGGTATTGTTTAATTATCAATGAAGTCAATATTCTAATTTACTAATCCCTAACTTAGCTTTAAAAATAAATGTTTAAATTGAATTTTAAAGTTAATAAATACTAATTTTTTTTAAAAAAAGTATCATAAATAAAAGTCATGGAGATATCTATTGAGTGAAAGGTTCTCCCTTGAACAGGATATATAAATCTAGGTTTAACTAAGTGATAAGACTATAGGAGACAATCATGAACAACTTCCCTACTATCATCTCGCTATGGTTTTAAGAAAGTTAGGAAAATTATATTTTAGATCCTAAATATGTAAGATTTTTCTAAGATTTTGAATTTTTCTTTGTGATTGCACTGATCTAGAAGTAATATTCCACTTTCCTACCATTATAATACTAGATCACAACACATTCTAATTAATCAAATAGTCAGTTTTGAGAGTAAATGAGATTCATAAAGTTAAAACACTGCCAAAGTTAAAAATTTATTCGATCACAATAAAATATTTAAACGTTAGATACCTAGATTTCAAGTTTAAAGGAGAAAAAAAATTCAAAGAGTTATTCATGCCTTGAAATAACTAAAACACATTTGATTCATCCAAATCAAATTTAAATATAAGAGTTTAGAAACTAAAAAGAAGATGGAATACACCCTGTGAAAGGCTAGAACAAACTTCCTTCCTTCTCTACTTGATTGACTGAATAACACAGTCTCTTTACTGTAGAATTTCCTTGCACACTCCCCTCAGAATTTTCTAACACACTCTGGAATGTTTGCTATGCTAATTTTTTAATAGGGGTCACCTTACTACCTCGCTTTATTCAATTTAACCTTATGGCACAAATCGATGCAGTTGAACTGGCAAAAACAATAATTGCATGTCTTTGGGCACCTAGGCACCCACAATCAGCACCTAGGGCTCTATTTTCGGGTGCTAAATTCAGAGTTAATCTTCCGGATGAATTAGTATATCGTCAGAGTTAATCTTCAGAGAAAGCTGCCAAGCCACCTTTATGGTGCATTTGTGTGTTGACCACAATTGGTGAGTTATTCGAACATGTTCCCTAGTCTTATTATTATTTTTAATTTATCTAGCCAAGTTATCCAACTGGCTCAGGGAACATTCTTGCTTCATTCTTTGAATCGGATCCAAGAACTTCTGGTCTTTTATATATATATATATATATATTGATATATTGAAAAGAGTTGAACAACAGTTTATTGCATTTAGAACACTCTAACATATATAATTATACGAAAAAAATCTCAGCATAAATTAAATACAAAATATAATGTATGACCGAACAAAATTCTACCTGGTAGCTTTCTAACAAACAATTTAGCGAAAAAAATGCTCAAATGAAGCGAAACCTCCAAGGCGGTGGATAACGGTAGATCGCTCTAACTCCGAATATCATGAACATTATTAGCGATTTATTTGATTTTCTAACCTATCAAATAAATAATTAAGTAAATGTCCGCTCGATAATGAATAATCCCTATATGAATCCGTCAAAAAATTAGTTAAAAATCATTCCTTTACTTTTGGCTTCAACATCGTCCCCCCTCTCTCTACATAAGTTATCCATCTATTAGGAGCAGTAAGAAGACGAGTGTTGGTACAAACATATCAAGGGGATAGCTATCTTCGAAGAGCATTGGAGAAACAAAAATGGCTTCGAGTTCATTAAAGAAACCCCACGCTGTGTGCGTCCCATTTCCATCCCAAGGCCACATGAACCCCGTGCTAAGCTTGGCCAAAGTTCTCCACTCCAGAGGTTTCCACATCACCTTCGTCCTATCCGATTACAACTACCGCCGGCTGCTTCTGTCTCGGGACTCCATTCGTGAACTCCGCGACTTCCGTTTCGTTGCCATGTATGACGGCCTCCCATTCTCCGATGCAAATACTACGCAGAACGTTCCCGATCTCTGTGAATCAACAATGAAGACCTGTCTCGGTCCATTCCAAAGGCTCCTTGCTGATCTCAATGAAGAGAGACATACGCCCCCCGTCTCCTGCATCGTTGCGGATGGCGCCATGAGTTTCACACTTGACGCGGCTCTCGAGCTCGATATCCCGGAGATTCTTTTCTGGACCACCAGCGCTTGCGCTTTCCTCGCTTACCTCAACTTCCAACAGCTTGTGGATCGGGGCATCGTTCCACTTAAAGGTAAACGAGTTGAAGCGTTGCGTAAATAATGATCCGCGCGAGCTTTGTTTCGCTATCTTTATAGTTTTATGAGTGTCGTGTCAATAAGATGGATATTTTTTTCTCATAAAATTTTAACTTTACCATAAAACAACTGGATTTTAAAAATAAATTAACACAGATTTGAATATGTTTATATCAAACATGGAGACGTGACAATTATATTTTTTTTAGGGAAATTTACATTCGGTAATGATACAGATAACATGTTATGAATTTTAAATTTTACACGATAAATAGATAAATAGGATAATTATATATATATATATATATATATATAACCTAAATATTGTTATTAAGAAAATTTAGTATTATATGTTATATTTTTGAACTATCCAATTAATTTATTTATGTGTCACGATTAAATTATAGAGAAAATTTGACAAAGGTGAAAAATATGAGTTAAGATTTTATCATGAATTTTGATATTTGAGAAAGTTTAAAAAATAACTGAAAAAGAGTGCCGGATATGTAAATAACAATGTTTTGATTACTCTCTAATGTAATTGCCCCTAAATAAATTGAGAAAAAAGACTGCAAAAAACAACTATAAAATTAACGCAAAAAAACTTAACCGATCAATATCATCGAAAATATGCAATTGAACGTTCGCATCAAAATAACATAACTTTTCTTCTCTTAATAATGTTTAATGCATATTTCTTTATCCACTAATCTTTTCATGTGTTGTCTTGATGTAGATGCGGCCGCGTTAACCAACGGATACCTTGACACGGAAGTAGACTGGATCCCTGGTCTAAGACAAGGCATACGTCTAAAGGACTTACCCTCTTTCCTGCGCGTGACGGATATAAAAGACAAGATGTTTAACTATATCCTGCACGAGACATACAGAGCTTCCATGGCCACAGCAATCGTGTTGAACACCTTTGAAGCCCTTGAGGCTTCGGTCCTTGAGGCACTGCGACAGATCCTCCCCTCCGTCCACGCCATCGGCCCACTATCGCTCCTCTCTCGACGCTTGATATCAAACGATAGCCAACTCGCCTCCATCAACACAAGCTTGTGGAAGGAGAATACCGCATGCGTACCTTGGCTTAACGGCAAGCGGGATCGGTCAGTTGTGTACGTCAACTTTGGAAGCGTAACTGT